CTACAGGCGCCCGCCACCACACCCAGCTAATTTTTGTATTTTTAGTAGAGATGGGGTTTCACCATGTTGCCTGGGCTGGTCTCCAACTCCTGGCCTCAGGTGAATCACCTGCCTCAGCCTCCCAAAGTGTTGGGATTACAGGCGTGAGCCACCACCCCAGGCCAAGGTAGGATTTTAAAAGTACAAGCATGCCTCAGGCTGTGGGAATCAGGGAACTACACAATAGCAGTGTTATCTGGAATCTTGAGAGAATACTATAGAATACTCCCTTTTGTTTTCATGCATATTCAAAAGGGTTTAAAGCAAAACACTGAGCTACTTGTGAGATTTCATTTCAGAACAAACTTCTTATTAACACTCCAAATCCTAATTTGCTAGGCATTAGAAAAACCATCAATAATCCCAGTCAAACAACACTTTCAGATGCATCAGGAAATATACAATCTTGTTCAGGGCATCAGGAAATATACAATCTAGTCTCAAGACATGGTAGTTATCATAGAGCACTGCCGAATCCCACACTCAGCAGCCCAAGGCACGTTCAAATAGTTTATTTTCAAAAGAGGAATGATTCCGATCATTTAGTCAATTCACTAAAGTGAAAAGCATGAAAAAGGAATTAAGAGTTCATAAAACACAAAGCTTTGAACAATGTTATGTTTGTCAGGGTCAAAGATAAGAAAAAGTACTCAGAAAGAAAGAGGGGTGACCTTGGGCATAAGATGAGCTTTTTAAGCACCAAGTTCCCCCACGCTTTCTTATATTTTCCCCTACCATCCATTCTATTACCTCTACAGTCCAGTGGATTTTTTCCCTGTGGCATGCATCAGGACAGCTAGCGAGCTTTAAAAGGTGCCAGGGGCTACCCTAGGTCTACAGAATCACCATCTTCCCTGCCCTGCCACAGGGTGATTCTGCTGATGCATGGCAGCGATAACAGCCCCTGCTTGGGCCTCTGTGTACATGCTCCTCACCCTTCACAGTGGCAGTATATGCTCAGCAGACGAAAGGGACAGTCTGGGACAGAGCTACAATGAACCTTGATAGGCTCTGTCCTCCTCATACTCAACCAGCCTGCTTCTTCTAATAATCACTGCCTTGTTTACCCACATGCCACACATTACTGGGTTCAGCTAGCTCAAACTTACCTTCTTTCCTCCAACCCAGCCTGCTCATGACTACTCAGTGTCTTAAAACTTTATTTACCCAAATGTTATATTGAAGTATAGCATAAGTATAGAAAAGTGCCAAGATGTTCATTGCAGCACTATTCACAATAG